AGCTAGCTTGTATGCGTATGTGTGTACGCGCACAGCGACGCATATACGTAGTATGCAATGTATGCACTAAGTGTACAATCTAAGTATACAACCGTTCGTGCAAATATATAGTATATATACATATAGCTATATGCATAAATATATATGCGATATCCTCGGGAGATATTGTCGTGCGTGTACATACGCTAACTGGATTTCGACGCGTATACGTGCGTTGACTGTCGCGTACGCATGTGCATTTGCGATTTGCTTTCCGGGATAGAGACTCTTCATCTCCAATTATGCGACCTCTCGAACCATTTTACGCATGACAGAACTGTTTTCTCAATCTACCGTTAGATATTCATCTCATAATTTCGATAATAGAGACACTATTAAATTAATCTTTAAGTATCTAGAAAGAGACTTTATTGTGTTACATTTTATCATATACAGGGTATCTTAAAAAGCTCCCACTAAGCAAATAGTGTTATTCCTGATTAAAAACCGAGTCGAAAAGTCCTGAACCATTTTTTTCCATAATGCTTAATAAAGCAGTAATTAATGAGTAAAGTCGCGCCAATAAAAAGACAAACTTCCTCGTTATCAACGTATGAAGATTTGGATAAGCAAAAAAATAAACTGTTTTGTGTTAATTTTTAAACAATTCATCTTTTCAGAAATCTTTTTAATACTTAAAAGATCTGATTAATTATTTAATGAGTCGTGGAAAAAAAATGGTTCAGGACTTTTCGACTCGGTTTTTAATCAGGAATAACGCTATTTGCTTAGTGGGAGCTTTTTAAGATACCCTGTATATGATAAAATATAATGACACAATAAAGTATAATATAGAATATAGTATTATATTTTTTTACACAGTTGGGTGTTACTTGATAACACAGAAAGATAATTAAAGAAAAATGGAACGATGTATTTGAAATGCATGCGTCGCACTTATCGTTTAGCCAACAACGAATATAATTCAACGACAGTACATTTGGTTGAACTGTAAATAATCGTCGATGTCAAAACTCATCGCGATTTACGATCGGGTATATTTTTCTCACAGAGTATAAATATATTTGCGTCTGCGATAGCACCACGATGTATGATAAAGCGCGATTAAAAACTAATTTATAAACCGTCTTTCTAAATTTTATCATTATAAAGCAATATTATTTAGATGCCTATTAAATTATTTATATGATGCGAATTGCATATAAATCATCAATTATCACTAACAGAATGATAACTTACTCTTCGTCAAAATTTGATAGAGAATTATGTTACCCATTTATCCGACAATGCCAATTATTCCACTCGAATTCATATCAATCCGTCAGTTCATATTACTCGAAATTTCGAATTACATCAAACGGATTCCACAGCCAGACGAACCGGTGGATCAATTTATTCGCATGTCAAGAGTCTTCGCAGAGGCCGAAAACGCAGGCTGCAGATACGCGAAACTTTTACTCGCGCTGCGTTCGCAGCCCTTCGCGAATTAATCGAAAGCGCGACGTCATCCCTCCCGTCCAAAATGAAATTATCGATATTATGAGAGAAAGAGAGCGAGGAGCGCGTTGTCTCTCGCGAGGGCACGGAAGGACAAGCGTTTCATATTCATGGTAATTGCCGGGGCTGGATCGCGAGACGCGTCTCCGTCGTAGTTTATAATTAATTCATTGGATTAAATTTTACGCCGTGTACCTAGTATGCATTACCCACGTCCCCGTGCGGTTCCGAGTTGCAACGTCGGTGCAATGGTGCGCTTTCCCCTCGCGCGTGACCCCTCTATCACTTCGCTGAGCACCACACCCTTAAACCGCCACCGGCGATATTACCACCGCCGTATCTTCGGCATCACCTTTTTCTCCCACTGTACGTGTACTCGGTCCCTCCCTCACCTAACACGGAATTCTCTGCAGATTCACCTCGCTGTCTCTCTTTCTTCTTTTGTGGCTCGCGAAGGTAGAAATTTTATCTCTCGACGAAAACGCGACCAAAAAAAGCGAGAGCGGTATTGTAGACACGAAAAGGCGATGTGAAAAGATAAACTGGACTTTTACGGGCAAACATGGAAATGCTAGTCAGGCAGAAAGGAGAAAGATGCGACGCAAGAGAAAGAGAGAAACAGCAATAAATTTTATTAAAAGCATTATATATTTATATATATATGTATATATATAATGTGTATATATTAGAGGAAGAATAGGGTACAAAAAGAAAAGTTTGGTCCTTAATGCGCGTACATTTACGCGCATAATCGTATTTTCGTCTCAAGAGCGTCACAGACATCGGTATGCCTAAATTAAATCATGAATACCGACAGCATCGCACTCGTAACTTCTCTTCTCTTTCTGACAAGCGACCCCCTCCTTCTCGACACGATACGTTCCCAAGAGGAATACGGCAAGAGAGCGAATTACAGAAGTTCGTTGGGGAAGTTTCATTTTAGAATGACGGTCGCGTTCGTATGGAGAAACGTAGATAGAGAACGGCTTAAGCGAGAGAGCGGTACAAGAGCTTAGACGCGGCTGGTTCCGAGGACTGACACTCGCAGTAGAGCGAAGAGAGCAGTAGAATTGCGAGGGCGGGTGGATGGTTCGGTTTTCGATGTGCGTATAAAACGCTTCCACTGCTCCTGAAATCTCTATCCCTACAGAGCGCCAAACCTAAGAGAGCCAGCTCGATCGCGGAGCAAAACGACTCGAAAAGTGCGATGCAAATCGATCGATTGTCAGAGAGCTACGAATCTCGGCGACGGCTGCATCCATCGAAAGTCGAGCGCATTGAATCTCGGATCACCGTTTCGATGAATCGATATTGAACATCGGTTTCATTCTTGTTCAAATTGTAGAAGATTTTTCCCGCTCGTCTTATTTGAAAAAGAACGAAAGAAATGACGTTTTATTTGGACGCTCATAATAATTTATTTAGAAAAGTTAATCTTTATTATGTCAAAGTCTTTTATAATTTTGAAACTAGGTTTTTGTAATATCGTACGTAATTTTCCATCATAAAAAAATCACATCTCTTATAAATATTTAAGTATTTATGAGAGAAAATCTGCGAGATAATATATAAAAATAAAATTCACTATAAAGAGTCAAGGGATTTCCATGACAGCGACAAAAAACTAGAATAAACAATTAAAAAGTTGTATTCACGCGCGGTGCAAATTTGTTGCAACATTATTTTTTCTATTAACGTCGGAACCAGAAAATAATCTGACACAAGGATTGCGTTTTGAAATTTTCTACAGGTAAAGTGTCACTGACGTATTATTCGCCTTAATAAATTTGGAATGACTGCGAAAAAGATCGAAAATTTGAACGGCTCATAAACTTAGACGCTATAAAATTCAAATTGTCGAAAAAGATATAAAATCAGAGATATAAATCATATTCACGTAAATCAACTGAAACTGTTTGCGAATTCGCAAAGTTATATACATTTCTAAACTTTGAGATGTCAATTCATATGATCTTCTCTCATATCACTTATGCAGAAAATTTAATACTGCAAGAATAACCGAAAGACAAAAAATCTTCAGCAAAGAAAATAAAGATTATTTTAAATATGTATTTATGCAAATTTAAAGAAATAATGTTTAATAAAAACCATATTTCAAAGAACGTCTATAAGAATTAGTCTTCACTCAAGATAAAAATTCAATTTTTAAATGGCAATGATATGTGTGTGTGTGTGTATACACACACACACACACACACACACATCCACACACACACACACACATCCACACACACACACACATCCACACACACACACACACACACACACATTCTTCATTTTTAAAAGTAGAATTTTATGAAAATATAATACGAAAGATCGATTTCATCATTATTTTTATAAGATATATATAAAAGAAAACCTAGAAATTTATTTTGTTTAAAAAAAAATAGATATGCAAAAATATCATACATATGTGTGTTATATACATTTATTTGTATTGCAATATGTATAATATTACTAGGCAAAATTATTTTGCTCGTGTGAACAATTTATCATATGTAAAGGATGAAGAAAACAACGCGCGGCATGTGATATCGGATATAGAGTATCTGAAGCGTTCGTACTTTTTGTTACAAATACTATTTTGAAGAATGATTTATGTGACATTAAGGTACACATCACTGCGGAAATTGAGAACCCGAAAAACCATCCGCTGTTATCACACTGTAAACCGCGCGAAGCTGAAGATTACGCGGTTTCCTTATTCATCGTTTTCTTGCACGATGTCAACTAATATCGACGGATATAAAATCGATAAAAAAGATATAAAATAAACCGACGCGCAATACATTCTTAACAGAAAATATTTATTCAAAACGATTACATCTTCTCGTAATCACATTTTCAGAAATATGAAAAGATGAAACCATAATTTTCGGTTTAATACTGAAAATTATGTTTTTTCTTAAATAAATATCAATAGTCTAAAATATTTTATTATGCATGATTAACTAATCCTATATCAGCGAAATAATAGAAACGCCATCTCGAAATTTAGAGCGAAAGATCGATAACATCAGATCTTAATTTTTGGCAAAATATTTTTTTCTCTATCGTAGAGAATCTTAAGAAATATTATTTATAAAACTTACATTTTTATAAAATATAAAGACAACCATAAATTTTATAAAAATATTATTTTTAATAAAATAAAATAATATATAATAAAATATAATAATTATATAATAAAATATAATAATTATTTTTAATAAAATATTTACAATATTTTATTAACATATTTACAATATTTACGTAAATATTTACAATATTATATTTTATTAAAATATTTACAATATATTATTAAATATTTTAAATATTTTATTTAAGTATTTAATTTAAGTTATTTTAAAATAAAATCTTAAATTTTTCATAAGCATTACATAATAATGTAAAACAGAAAAATCACGCTATGGAAATAAATAAATATATGACCGATCGAATAACAAATATATAATAAATTAAATAAGTTATAAATTACTCACATTGCAATTGCTTCTCGCCGTTGCTATCTCCCCGGATCCTTAACCTCTCATGTTACTTCGTCGTGGCATTCACTCACAAAAATACGTCTCATTAATTCGCGCGAAACTTGCACGGCACTCCCGACGTTAATCGCATACACACGTTCTTATTATACAACAATCCACTTGACATTTTAACACTCATCATCATGCGATTCTACATAAATAAAGTTAAGATACGATGGATCGTAAAATTGAGTCTCAATATCGCGCACCCGACACACTTCGAATAAATCCCGAGGAATCAATGTATTATGTTTATTTCTGACACAAAAATCGTACGAAATATGTATATGTTTCGAAATAGCCATCATGCTTATGATTCACCAATTATAGTAATCGTAATAATCACGTTTATAAAGACTTAATCCAACAATATACGAAGCGGCTACTTGCTCGACCTGCTCGTTCGAGATTAGACGCACGAATGACAATGAAGCTAGGCTTAAAGGTTAGACTCTTGTGACGTAACGACGCGCAGTTTACTGTGACGTACGTCACCTTGTTGACATTCGCACGTCTAGGCTCGAACCAAAAGGTAGTCGTTATATTGTTGAATTAAGTAAAAGTTGGATAAAGTAAGTTTTAAAATGTCAAGTGGATTGTTGTATAATAAGAACGTATGTATGTAATTAACGTCGGGAGTGCCGTGCAAAGTTTCGCGCGAATTAATTAGTTGTATTTTTGTGAGTGAATGCCATGAGGAAGCAACATGAGAGGTTAAGGATCCGCGAACGATGTGAGTAATTTATAGCTTGTTTAATTTATTATATATTTGTTATTCGGTTGGTCATATGTTTGTTTAGATCGTAATATTATGTGTTTATACTTTTATACATGCGATTGTTTGTGGTTACTATCATTGTTTATGATTACTATAAATAATTACCCAGCGTGACGGCTAAATTTAACGATTTATAACGCGTTATCTTATATATGCGTCGCTTTATCACATCTCGCGTATCATTACATTATTTTTTTTTGAAAGCAGTTTCGATAAATACTAATTTTCAAATTATTGAGAGCTATTTAATTTTCTTATATTTTTGACAATTATTATAATTATTATAATCATCTTTATTATAATTGTTTCTATAATTACTACAATTAGTGTTATTAACGTATCAAAGTGCTTTTATCAAAGCAGATACTTTCACGCATGTGATTCAATTATTTAAAATAGAAGTCGAAACGATAGAAAATTGTACCATAAATTTTAATTCTCATATTTAGAATTATAATTATTTTTTTAATGTTAGGATGCAAATGTATTTCATATTTCATTTTGAATTTTTTTTCGCTGATTTAAATATAAATTGCTATTTTTGAAATTAAAAATACACTAACACACGAAATATAAAATTGAATGATTAAAGTAATGATAAATTGTGTATATTAATTATTTACTAATGATTCATTCGAATTTCAAAAGACAGAATATTCTGTATAAAATATAGTGCTTAAATGTTTCATTATAGCAGCAATTAATCGATATTAGCCTTTGATTTTCGTAGCATATACCTAAACAAAAAAATAATCATTTTCATTTCTACGCGTTGATCCTGTTTTTCCTTTGTCGATACTTTTTGTTGTAGTAAGGCATTCCCCACTATGTCGCACTGATATTTCATCAAAAGACGAGTCGTTGTTCTTACATACACATCATACGTGACCTTGTCATTCATGTCGTGAAACTCGAGCGAGTAGGCAATGGCTACGGTATATTATTTCTAAATACGATCATTTCTACAATAATTATTACAATAGACGATTGAAACATGTTATAGCGATGATCATTTAATTAAAAAATATAAGCAAATTATATCTAAATCGGCAAAAATTTCAAAACTCGATATAAATCCGAATCTTAAGAAATAATTACCGGGGAGATAATAAATTGGAATAAAACAATAATTTTTATAATTACAAATTTCTATCGCTCTGATTCATTTTAAATGATTAAACTGTGCTTTGATATGTTTCAACAGAAAGCGTTAAGCATTAGTAATTATAAAAAATAATTATTGTAATAATTATATTATATTATTATAATAATTCTCGAAAATAATTATAAAAAATTAAATCTTTCGTAGTATTTGTCACAATCACGATTGCGATATACGAAATGATAAATCGATTTCATATACAAATAGTACGTCATAAAATTCGGCGCTCGAGTTTCGTGTGAATATCAACATAGTGTGCTATTGATACGCAGTCCTTATATTGTCATTCACGCGTCGAGAGTCAAACGAGACAGACAGTTGCTCGGTATCGTCGCATTACTTATTCTAATCGATTATCGGAAGTGTCGTGCAAAATTTCGCGCAATCGTCGTATTTTGCTAATTAGTGCTCAATTGTAATATTTTATTTCGTTATATTTTTATAGTGAATGTGAGTCTCATGAAGAAGCAGGATGGAACATAAGAAAGATTTGGAAAAGCGACAGCGGAGCAATCGTGAGGTGAGTAAATTATAACTTATTTAATTTATTATTTCAAAGAATTTTCATCGCTAACGATAAATAACCTTTGCAATGATCTATTCCGTTTAAAATAATTTTGATACAGCTGGCCTTGAGAGAGTAAAAATATATTTATATATTTTATTAATTAATCATAATAAAAAGTATTCAAAATTCTGGCTCGTGAATGCGTGTGAACTATTTAAAAATTTTTAGCAGTTGTCTCTGTGCGTTTTCTAGCAAAAATGCTATATGATATTCTGTAAAAGTTTTTATGGTAGACGAAAAGAAATTGATCAAAAATCAAGATCTATAAAAGAGTTCTGTTTATAATTTAAAATATTCGCACACTCTTAAATACATTCTTCAAAATTTGAGACTGTTTCTTGTTGTTTCATATAAAATTTTATTTCATACAATTATTTATTGAAAAGAAGATTTGCAAAAGATTTTGATGTTCTGTCAAAAAAAAAGAAGAATTTACTTAATTATAACAAATTATATAATCGTTTCTAAAGATTTATTGTTAATAGCAAATTTTAAATTTTCGCTTCAAGAACAAATTTCAAGATGTCAAATCTTTATTATCGCGATTAAAAAATAAATGATAATAAATGTCACTTTTATTAAAAATATTGTTGAAACGAGCCTTAAAAACAAAAAAAAACTAGAAACCTCGTTGACAAAGCATCGCTAACTCGGAGAACGTTATAAAGTTACTTGGCAAGCTGGTTTCGCGACATTCCTTTCCTACTATATTCGGTCTTTTCAAGAGCATTTTTCTCTGAAGATCCTCTAAGTTTATAATGCAAATAGATTTTTAGCAATCCGATTCATCCTGCTTGCTTATCTAAAAATGTATTATTTCTTTATTATTAAATTGCGTGTTTATCTGAATTTATGCTTTATGTATTCAATAATATAAATCAATCACAAGTCACGTAAAATCAAAGAAGAAAATTAAACATTATTTTTTAATTGTAAAAATATATTTTTGACATCTCTTTAGTACAGTTTCTAGTATTCGAAAACAATAATTAAAAATTTGATCATTCCAGGATACTATGTATCGATAACATCAGAGATCTTAATTTTTGACAAAATATTTTTTTCTCTATCGTAGATGATCTTAAGGAATATTATTTATAAAACTTACATTTTTATGAAATATAAAGACAACCATAAATTTTATAAAAATATTAATTCTATTTAATAAAATATTGTAAATATCTTATTAAATATTTTAAATATTTATATATTTTAATTTTTATTCGTGATATATAAATATATGTATAGTAACTTTTTAAATTTTTATTGAGTTTGGCATATGAAGAGTAAGTCTTCTCGAAATAAAAAAATAATCTTTAGTTAGAAAATTGTTTTTCCAACTCCCATAAAAGTTTATTATTGAAACCTGGTAGAAAGCAAGATTAGCATGCTAACTTTCCTGTCGTCTTTTCCAAATTTTAGTACGATGTTCAACGGAGCATAGAAAAATTTTCGAAGATATTGCTTGAAATTATCTATCTCATATACACAATTATCATATATTTGTATCTTGTACGATAAAAATATATCATATCCTACATCGCATATTCCTATCTATTTGCATTACTTAAATATACAAGGAGAAATTTACTCCTATAACAATGTTATTTTGCTTCCGCGTAAAAGAAAACATGCCACATTATGAGAACCGCGTAAAAACATGTATATTTTTGTGCATAATTTTTTTAGTAAAGAAACGAAATAAAACTGACAGAAAAATATTTCTTCGTTATATGAGTGAGTTAATTTTATTGAATACTGAAAATTAGTTTCAAAATATTATCTTCAATCAACTAGATACTCGAAAATTAAAAGTTTAGTATATATTTATGTAGTTACTTATCTTCCACATTTTTCCTCTTAGAGTTAAGCAGTTTCGCTTGCTTTACTTTACTCTCCTCACCTTTTTTCGCAAACGCGATAAAAATGAAATAATATTACCACGAGCAAGAGTAATATCAACTTTCGAAAACGTTCTCGACAACCGCTTCGGTTGTTGGTATCATCCACCTCAACTTGAAGTTCTTCAAGTTGTAGAAACTTGTATACGCTTGTACGATTTTGCTATAAGAATGTATGTAAATGTTGGGATGGAAGAGGAATACGAAGCGAACGCGTTTAACCACAAAAGCGAACACTGAGATTCAATATCGCGGAGATCGCGGATTTATCGGACGCAAAGTTGTGTGGAAAAATCGAATCCCCGTAAATCGAACGCATCTGCATCCTAAGTAGCGTGGCGGTCGCGGTTGAAACGCATAAAACGTAGTCCTCTTCCGACGACCGGAAACGAGACCGATAGGTAAGAGATCCGCTGACAGAGACGCTGGCTACGTGCTCATCTCGTTTCCTTATGGAAGGCGAAGTGACTTGTCGAGCCAGTTTGATGCTTCCGAACTTATTTCGAACCACCTGGGAAAGAAAAGTACATTGCTTCACTATGCGTATTCAGTCTGAGGAACCAAGGGAAAAATACAGACAGTTTTATAGAGCATATCAAACTTCTATATATAAAACTTTAACGGGCAAAACGGTTTCTATACTCGCCAAAAGAGATTCGATCTATGTTTTTATAGAGACAAAGAAAAGAAAAAAACAGAGAGGAAAAATAATTGAATGAAATAATATTCATTTTTTATGACTATTTAATAATATTTTATGTAATAAATTTATTATATGTTTATTACGATATAAATTATATATAGCTTCTGTAATGGTGATTAATATAAATTGACCATCAATATATATTTTAAATGAGGAATTATAGATAATAAGAAATCATTACATATATATATATATATATATATATATATATATATATATATATAATTCTTTATCTTATGATTATCGTGATACACATATGATTATCATGGGAATTATAATGCAAATTAATTCATATGGTCATGTGATTATTGTATATAAATTAATGAATTTAAATATCGAACATAGAGTTATATCCTATTAATATTATATCAAAATTAGAATGCTTGATAATTAATTCGATAATAATACATCAATCAAAATCGCGATAAATCGATGATGTGACGATCGATGATATTATGATATGAATTTATTTTATTGCTCCCATGAGAA